ACGGTTTTTATGCCGTCCGAACCGGCCGACCGGACGGGCTAAAAGCCGTCCGGTTCCGGCGGCCGGACGGGCTAAAAGCCGTCCGGTTTCGCCGGCCGGACGGGTTTTTTTTTTTTTTTTACTTTTTAAAAAAAATGCAAGGGGCAAAATTGTCCAAGAGAGGGGCGGTGAGTAGTAATAGAGGGACGATGAATAGCGATTGAGCAAAAACAACCATTAACATATCAATATGGAGAGCTACAAAATCTTTGTCCCGTTTATTGTTTCCTACTCCTTAGTTTTATGACTTTATCCATTCTGCCTTCATTGTCTCAATATTTGTATTTACTAAATTAGACATCCCACTGGAAGGCCACCTCGACCAAAAACTGTCGGTGTGAGGCAATTGCCGAGGTTACTATCGACCACTAGCATATCATATCGAACTAAACATGATAATAATAACATTTTATAATGAACCTGTCTTTTGTTTATTTATTAGCATTTCTTTTTCTTTTGGTTGGTTCCTTTTACATTACTTTAAGATTAAATAACAGTGTCTAAAAGTGCAATACGGAGACAGTTTCTTCACTATTTGTTATTTACTGAAAAATACTTGCTACAATACACATTACAACACAATCATTAAATTAGTAAATTATATAAAAAACTTCCAACAAACAATTATTCATTTTATTTACATAACACTAGTAGTAGTATGTTTCACGAATCTTATTAATCCCAAAAAACTAAGTTATCTAAATAAAAAATGATTATATAATGATCAATATGATGAAAAATGATAAGATTTACGTACCACAACGTTACCTAAATATTTATAACATTGTACATTTTTTTACTTTAATTCTACTGCTATTTCTTAATCCCAACGTCATAGGTGTAGAAAAATGCTATGTTTGGACAAAAATTTCATACTTGCGGTTGACAAGATTTCTAAATAATTGTGCACTAATATTTTAATCGGATTCTCCAATAAGTTGACACTTTGCACCATATAGTTGATAGTCAAATGGTGATTTAGCTTTGAATTGGGCAAAGTTTTTGATTTATCCGTAGTTTTTGGGTTGCAACATGCTCTAAAGTCATAATACACACACAATACAATAGCCGGTGTAAATCAAGTCCACTATTAAGCTACGGCTCTGCCTTATACTAAGGAGAACTTAGTCATTCAAACTACCATGTCATGATTTACCTTTTTTATGCAATAATCCCACAACAGATAAACTTTTTTTTTTTTTTTAATTATAAAAATAAAATTGAAAATCCTATTGGATAAATTCCTTGGAGAGAAAAATTTCTTGCCTCTCCATTTTCCCCTTTGTGCATGCACGATTAATTATAGCTGCAATCTCACATTCTTTCTTCTTCTTCACCTCAAATATTAAATCATTTTCGTGCTTGGATAAAGGGGTGAAGGTTTGTAACATTTTCTGGGTTTGGATTATATTTCATACATTTCGTTCATTTATGATTCCTTATTTTTCAATAAATTCGAGAGTTTAATGTATGATCTGAAGAAATTTAATTCAACGCGGAAGCAACTGAAAATCCTTATATAGTTGCCAACTTTGATTACTTATCTAAAATATTTCAGTCAAAATATGCAATTTATTTTATTTAATTTCTTGTATTGTAGATACCATCTCTCGAAATTCATTTTTTTTATGTGATTCTCGTATTTGCTGGGTTTGAAGAGAAATTTGTGCTTTGTATTTGATCCAGGAGCAACAATAATATTATATTACACATTTTGAATTCTCTGACTATTACCATTATTCCTTTTTGTAATACAAAGCCCCACAAACCGATTTAATTTAATCGGTCTCTTTTCTTTTTAGATTTT